AATTTAATGAGAAGGCGCAAATGTTAAGTAACATTTTTTCAAGTACTAATTACAGAGAATGTTAATTTAATCAGAGTATGTCAACGAAAAAGAAAAAATATTTGAATTCATATTTGCATTTTGACGGGTACATGTAGCTTGGAAGATGCGTTTCATTCAAGATGTGCTGTAGCATAGTTGGTAGAGGCGAAGCGATGATGGTGCGTTGCCGATGCGGTATGGGTATGGGTTCGAGTCCGGCTGGATGCGGGGTTTTTTATATATTTATAAAATGAAATAAAATAACCCTGCAGGGAGTGACGTTAGCGCTTATACCTAACTTTAGTCTGTTTACGCGAACACTAGTGCTCACCATTAACTGTGTATTTTGTTCGAAAAAAGCTAACTACTTTTGTGGGGCGATGGCCGCAGAAAAGTCAGACCTGGATACCTCTGTATTACATGTCAACTAACTTGTAACTAACTACTTTTGGACATAAAATATCAATAAGAAAAACAAAATGTTTTTTGTTTTTTTACTTTTTTATTTACTTTATTTTATTACATTTCATATTTGTTTACATATTCTGCTCTGGGTGGCCCCATATTCGAACACCGTCAGACATAACTTCAAAATGATAGTATAAAATTTCGATCTTCCTTTTATTTGTCCTGAATATGAAAAAGAATCTGCGAAGTTCAGAAAAAAAGTGTATTGAAAGTAATTTTTGTATGAGGATATTTAATAGAAACTTGTAAAGAAAACCAAACCCGATTGCGTCTGCATGACTCCTGCACGACTTTACAATTCACTTTAAGTTGGTTGTGTCATAGCTAATTAAAAGTGAGGTATTAATCGAAATCTCGCCAAAAAGCTAACTATAAGTTGGTTAGTTTTAACAATTGATAATTTTTCACTGCAGGGTAATAATTTGTGATCAAAATTGATTTTTTGGCTTTTCTGCGGATTGTGAAAAAGTTGAAGAAGAGGAAGAATTCTTGACAAAGTGGGGGAAACGAAAGTGAAGGGATTCTGCGCACTTGTCGGCATAGTTGCCCGTTTTCTGTAACGCGCAGAAAAAATATTTTGTTTAGACAACTGAAGTGAACAAAGGGAAGGGGGATTTTGTACACTGTTGCGACTTTTCCGATAGGCGCGGCGGTTGAAAAAATTTGAGATTTTTAGATTTTGTCAACGCCGCGACGAAAATCAACTTGTGGACGGCTCATGTTTGTAGCGGGGCAAGTGTGCGAGGTACGCGCGAGTTTATGAATGGAAGTTTTTGCTTTTAGGAATGAATTTCTAGCTCGATAGAAGCGGGAGTTCGGGGAAAAGTAAACGTGGCGTTGTATCATTTGTATGTATGTGCAGAAGTATTTCGTTTTGATGTTTGTAGTTTTTTGTTTAGTGATTAGAAGTGATTATGTAATTATTTATGATTATGTGCATTTGCATACATACGCACGCATGCGCGTTGTTAATATGTACATACGTATGTAGGTACTTATGCATGGGCGTATGTATGTATACATTTTTAATTTTCAATCATATGTATTTTAATTTTGAATTTTATTTGTTCATATTTACTTGTCGAAATATCTGCCACTTATAATTTTTTTCTTCTATTTTTAAATAAAAAAATATATATCAGCAATTATTCAGCTTTATAATCAATCAGTTTTCTGATTAATAAAATAAATTACATTTTTTAAGATCATTTGATTTCACTGACAAAAAAATCAAAACACACGAAAGATATAGTAAAAAGCGTTTTCAATTTTATACTCTGACGTCAGGATTTTTTTTCAAAGGGCTTTGAAATTTTAAAGATATGATTAATTGAAAAAATTATTTTAAAAAATCAGCGCTATGTAGAATAACAATATGGGTATAAAAATTTTTTGGTTTATTTACTAGGATGAATAGGTACTGAAAATGCGCTTTAATTGCGTTTTGGAGCAGATATATTCTACGGAAACTCTGCGAATTTCTTTCACCTTTCTGTGTGAACTGGATGTCTTATAATAAAACAAAGAACCACGAATAGAAACAAAGCCAAAACAACAACAAAAATTATTACTTTATTATAAAAAAAACGAAATTCCTTTGTCACGGGTGTACAACGTTTGTCACAGGTGGGACACGTACGAATTTTTATATGAAAAGGAGCTTTTAGTGTGGTCCATATATAGCATAGATTAAGCACTCGCCTAATTTAATATTTTAGACAATTTTACAAAAAGCAGATGAGTTCTACTATATATTTTATTGCCAAACACTTGAATTATGAATCGCAAATTATTTGACAGTGCCTTCCATTAGAGCTGGAAAACTATCGATGGTCGTGGCCTAAACTATCGAAAATGCCGACACTATCGATAGTAATGTCTCGAAATTTTTTAATGCTTGTGTAATTTTAAGTTTTGTGTATACTTTCAATGTAAAATGTTGTTTTATGTATTTTTTTTAATAAAATTTTAACATTTTGTCAAGTTCCAAAAGTCAATTTATTTCGCCTAAATTTCTACATACATAATATGTACATATTTTTATTTGGTACCTTTTACTTTGTTGCAAAAAAAAAATCTAATTACAAATGTAGGTATAAATGTTTTCATTGAATGATGGATCTGCATATGCAAACATACTTATACACGCATTTGTGTACATATCCCTAGCTTAGATTGAAAAGTTGCTAAGTCCACTTTTTATGACAACTCATATATTGATAGGCTAGAGAAGTTAAAAATGTATTGTGCCGAAAAGGATAAAGGTATTTGGTACTATTTATTCTCGTTTAAATTCAATGAAAGGAAAATTTTCTAAGTCTAAAAGAAGCGCCGAAAAATCCGATAAGGCCAAAATACATAGCATGAAATCTTTGAATAAAGTTCGAATCCCTATATGGAGTTTTGCTTTCCTTTAAACAGCCAATATGTTGTATTCAACGTTTTGCGAAATGCTTGAAGAATTTTTGTTTCCTCTCCTCTAACATTTTTAAAATAGGACTTATCAACTTTTCACTCTAAGCTAGCGATATATGTTTTAATAAACAACAAAAAAAAATTTAATAAATAAAAAAATACCACCCTTTTCACTAGTTTTTGAATTAGCGCAAAAAATTGGCAAAAAGCAAGCTACATTTTTGCAGCACACACCACAGAACTCATAAGCTAACGGCGTAAATTTGCATATATGTACATAGTTCTGGAGTCAAATGCAAATCTATTTCCCAGGCCTGCGCATATGGATACTTGTAGTACATGCAGATGCGATCAACTAATTAGCAACGAAATTCAAAATGATATTGTTCGCAAATTATGTTTATTTATTTATTTTTAATAATTTCCTTTAAAACATAATTCAATCTATAACAGAAACCACAATAATAAAAGTTTAAAAGCTTGCACAAATTGCAAAATAATAAATCAAACTTCAAAAAATTGTTATAAAAATCTCAAAATTTTTAATTAGAATATTTAGAAAATTTTCGGGTATGCAGTATTGTAGTCCATTCAATTATAGTATATGAAAGTCCAAGCTTCTAGTCGTTAAAAATTACCGTTCATTTCTTAGAATTTTTTTTTTGTGGAGGGTGTTCGCATTTTCTTCCATATAACACATGAACCAATTTTTTTTTGTATGAAAAATAAACAGCAACACCCCAACAAAAAAATCTAAAAAATCAACGGTAATTTTTAACAACTTGAAACTTGCACTTTCTTATAATATAATTGAATGGACTACAGTACTGCATACCCGAAAATATATTAAATATTCAAATAAAAAATTTGGATGACCATTTCTTGAAGGTTGATTAATTTTTTTGCAATTTGTGCAAGCTTTTAAACTTTTATTATTGTGGTTTCTGTTCCAGATTGAATTATATTTTAAATGAATACCTATCATTAAAAATAAATAAACATAATTTGTTGATGGCAGCTGAATGTATGTATGTATGTACTTACATATGTAAATATGTACCCCATACACATACTCCAAAATCATTTATTGATAACGTTCTTGCACCTGCACATAATATTACATATATGTAAGTACATACTAACTTTCTTCTTATTTGGGGCTGACAAACTTTAACTTAAGAGTCGACTTTATTTCGTCTACTAATATGCCCCAATAGGTTTGGAGTCAAATGAAAATGCATTTCCCACGCATACATATATGTATCTATATGTACTACATGCTCCATTAATTGACAACGTTTTTGCATGCATATATAAGTACATCCATACACACGTGCATATTGCTGTCTAACTACCACGCACATATATACAAATGTACATATATGTACAACTCACGGCAGCATACATACACACATACATAATTACGCGCATATTCAAATACAACAATAACTATTTCATTCATAAACGCATGCGCATATTTCTCAAGGCCAAGTAAATTCATTCATAAAAACAACCACAGCACATCTCCCCGCAAATTCATCACCAACAAGC